CCTCCACCTTCCACTTCTCGTCCCATTCATCATTTTATTTAAAAGAAATAAGATATATGTATACCCCCAAAAAAACTTTTTTCAAGTAAAATAAAAACTTTAATAAAACCTTAACAAAAAATCTTTTCTTTTTGTTTGCCTAAAGACGGCAAATCTTTTACTTATTTGGCCATAAAATAACCAAAAAAGTGGCTGCTAACAAAAAAGCTGCTAAACTTCCTTCCTCTTTCTTCTTTTTAATGATGAGATAAGTGTCTATTTTCTCAATTTCCTTCTCCTTCCTTATGCAAAAACAAAACTTTTCGGCACTTTTATAAGAAATTCTATAAATATTTGCTTTATCTTCATTTTCTGTTTTTATTTAAATTTATTTTTAGTTAAAACTTTACTTTATTTATTATTATTTTTGGTAACCCCTTAACTTTAATTAAAAAGTCAATTTCTCTACAAAAAAACTTCTATACTAATCCGTCTCGATTTGAATAATTTTACTAAATTTTTAATCACCAACCTAAACTTTTTTTATCACTAAAATATATTTATTTGTAATATCATTAACAAATAATTAAAAATAATTTTTAACCAAAAATACAATAAAAAACCAATTTTCAAACAATTTATTTGCATGACAGAATTAGTAGAACGCTTTTTTAGAAGAAAGACAAGTCACAGAACAAACTAAAAACAAACCAAAAAGCACAACAATGGCCTAACCAAAACCAAATAAATAAAACAAAAATAGGCCAAAGATGTCTCAAAAATGAGGGAATTAATGTATTTAGAGGGGATGAGAATAAAACCGGAAAAACAAGCGGAGAGGGAGAGGAATGAATATTTTTGTGTGTTTTTCTCCACTCTTTCCCTCAATTTTTGCTGGCCAATTTTGAAAAAAAAATTTTGTGTTCTTCTCAAACATTTTATTTTTTATCCATTGAATATTTTGCGTAATTTCTTCTTAAAATTTATTTTTATTTGTTCCAATAAATTGTTTCTATAAAAAGAACAACTAAACGAAAACACACAAAACAAAACAAAAGATAATAAGTTAAAAATAAAATTTTAGATAATTTTTTGATCTCTTTTTTAATTTTTCTATTTTTAAATTAAACTTTTTGACCTTTTCCTGTTTATTATATGTGAAAAGGGTTGTCAGTTTCACTAAATTCTTTGGTTAACCGAAACCGAACCGACAAACTGAACAGAAGTTTCCGGTTTTTGCTTCAGTTCGGTTTGAAACTGACAATATGTGACCATTTCCTGTTTTAATAGTACTACCTAAACCAAAAAATCGGCTAAATTATTGCAAAATTTTTCAGACTTATTTCTATCAACAATGAAATTTTATTTGAAAGCTTCAGAATTTTTATTTTTCATTAAGAAAATAAAAATTTATTTAAAACAAATTTTTTTCTTCTTTTTATTTAACATTTTCTTAACACATCTGTTCTGCGCATAAATCCATTGATTTTGAGCGACTTAATTCCTTTCAATATATTTAAATATAAAATATTTTGTATCTATCTATTGTAAATTTCCAACTTAAAAATACATTTGTTTTTTATTTTATTTTTCTTTTATTTTTTATTTTATTCAAATTATTTTTAGAAAAACAAATCTTTGGATAAATGCCATTTCTTTATTTTTTCTTTGGGTAACCTTTTCTTCTTTATTTTTACACAAATTCGTGGTTTTTTAATTTTTATTTAGTATATGTATTTAGTAGTTACTATATTTCTTTCCAACTACTTTAAACAATTACGTAAATGTTATTCTTATTATTTGTTTAATTTATTTTAACAAATCATTTAACAAAAAATTTTTATTTTTTAAAAATTAGCTAGTAACTATTTATAAAATAAAAGAATTTATTTAGAAAGTCACTTTTAGAAAAGCAAACGATTGGTAGAATTAATAGAGAAATTTTTTTTATTTTTACAAAATTTATTGGCAAACACAGTGATTTCATCTACTAAATATTTTTTTCTCATTGTGTAAATATTTTTTCTTTTATTTTTATTTACCTTTTCTTGATAAAAACAAAAAAATAAATATTTAAAAAATTGTTTGCTATGGATTTTTGATCAGAAAATAATTTTGGGATCACCACTACATAAACAAAATACAAAAATATTTTTTAATAAAATCTCTTTACTTTTAAAAATATTCTAGATTTTTTCAATCTTCTTCCAAGTTCTCATACTTTTTTAATTTTTTTATAATTGATATTTTTTAATTATTCTCTTTTCTTTTACGTTTTTTCGCATAATTATCCAGATTTATTTAAGCTTACCTTCCCTCAAAAAATTTTTTGCTCACCACTAATTACTTTTGAGACAATATTTTTTATTAATATATAAAGCTTAATTTGATTTTCTTTAATCCATTTATTTTATCAAAAATATAATTGTATTAATTAACTATTATTCACAGTATATTCTCAGATAGAGCTCATTCTAGAGGAGTTGTAGAGAAGGAGATTCTTTTGGAGAGTGTTTCGCTTTGTTAAAATTAAGTTTTGGTATAAATGTCAGATGCTAGTTTATGATTTATAAAGTATTTTTTCCCTCAATAATTATAACTCCCAAAGTCAAAATAACTCTAAATTGTGTTTAACACCTTAAAGTTTTATTTTATAAATATTTAAAATTTCTAAAAAAACATTTTCAATCAATTTTTATTTTTTTCACAATTTTTTTTCATTACCAAAATATTCATGTGATGCCCATCAAAATCTGCTGAGCCACTGTCACTTCCACTCACGCTAATACCTTTTTTCACTCCCTCTCAAAGTCGATGGAGCGGGCAAAAATAATCTCCCTCATTTTTCTCTTTGTGATGCGGGAATGGACCAAAAAATGAAAAATAAATTTTTGAAAAAATTTAAAATAAGAAACTGGTTTTTAAATTTTTTTGTATTTTAGGTTTCCTACAAGTATTTTAATGAAAATAATTTTAAATATATTTAAGTGAGCTTATTTGTCTGTGTATTAGCATATCCTCACAATCAGCTTAAAAGCATTTTTAAAAATAAATGTCTCACTTATTCTCGGATTTTTATTCTATAAAAATTTCTGAGCAATGGAATTAATTAAAATAAAATAATTTTTAATTCTTTAATTTATTCATTAATTCCAGAATAGAAAATTCTGTTATTTTATTCAATTTAATATTTTTTAAATTATAGGTAATTCCCAGAATTTATCACAAGATTTTTTTAGTTTTATTATTTACTAATTTATTTTTCTAATAAACAATAAAAATATAATTTTTTAAATTTCTCCAATTTTATAAATAACACTAGAACATATAAATAAATTACTAGAATACCTAAATTAATTTGGAAAAAATAAACCCATTTATTTATTTTAATGAGTTTTATTTTTTTTAAATTATCTAAAATTAAAGGAATATTTTTAAATTAAATGATAAACACAATTAGATATCAAATATTTTCGAATGACAGAAAAACCTGTGATAAATTTACACCTCTTATCTAATAATTTATTTTTTTATTAATTATTTACCCACTATTTATTAAATATTTTTTTTCAAAATTTATTTTCTTTTTTATTCATTCGGTATTTAATAAAAGCACTTTTTTGGAATTAACTCTTTTCTACTAAAACCTTTTTGCAATTTAACTAAGCACCTGTCCCTATTAAAAAAATATTTTTTTGTCCCCTATTTTTTAATTCAATCCTTTTTAATTCCCTTTTTTGCATAATTCATTGGCCACTTCCAAAATATATCGTCACACCTTTTACCGGCTTTTCCTTTTATAAACTCATCAATTCTTTTCTCATTTTTATAATCTAAAAGCAAATTATATTCTTATATTTTAATTGAGGAAATAAAAAAATAAAATTTAATTTAAATAAACTAATACGAGAAAAATTAACAAATTACCATTTACTATTAAGGAGTTTTTTCAAAAAAAGCCTTCTCTCAATCGGAAGCATCCCCATTTTTGTAGTGAAAGTGTAAAAGCAGTTCTGAATTTTAAAAAATATTTAAAAATTTTTTTTATTTTTTATATTAAAAAAATATTAAAAACAAATTTACAATTAAATATATTATTGCCCTTAAACTTTATCTGCGCAAGTCCCAATAAAAATATCTACTTCTCTTTTCAAATATTTTTATTGAGAACGCAACAATTTTTATTTTAAAAAATCTCATAAATATTTCCTCTAGATTTGCCTTTCAATTTATGGCAAATAAATTCCCTCATGAGACAATTTTTTATTTTTTAATTGCTTAGTAAAGCAACAAAAAATAAATATACATATACCCATTATTTTTAGTAATTTATTTTATTTGTTTATATGTATATTTTGTTGAAAAGTATTTTTTAAATTTAAAAAATGTACTATATTTTTTAAGAATATTCATATTAAATTTAACGTTATTTTCTTTTTTTTTCCTTAAAAATGGGAAACGGGATCACCCCAGAATATCGACACCCAAAATATCGCCACCCTAAATATCGTCACCCAAAATATCGATGACCCAAAATATCGCACCCAAAATGACGAATTACCCAAAATATCGAATTTTTTAAATTTCATAATTATGCATTCTAATGATCGGGAATGTTGTTCCAACATCGGGGAATTGTGTTTTCGATCGAACTGACCATAGCGACCGATCAAGATTCTCCTTGGAGATCGGCCACTCTCTCTTTGATTTGACATATTGATCAGATTGATGTTGTTCCATTGTTGGAACAATTTCCCCATGTTAAAAAGGCTTCTCCGTCCTTGGAATACACAATTATGAAGTTTAAAAATTTTCGATATTTTGGGTAATTCGTCATTTTGGGTGTCGATATTTAGGGTCATCGATATTTTGGGCGACGATATTTAGGGTGCGATATTTAGGGTGTCGATATTCTGGGGTGGAGTCTGGGAAACAAATCTTTGAAGCTTTACATTAAACTAATATTATCAGTGGATTTTTAATTAGTGATTTACAGTACTAAAAATCGAACGGTTCCGAGGTCTAGATTCCTGATATTCTATAAATGAGGTTCCACTGTTCTCGTTTTGTGGGAACCGACTCCGAAACTTCGGCTTCTGAGCATCACTTTCTGTTTCGAAAATTTTTTTTCTATAGCACATCAAAAATTTCTACTACCAAATCAAATTCTTCTATTAGCCTCTTCTATTTACCCAAACATTTATTCGCGCCAGTTGGCCTATTATTTTTCTGTCAACATGCTACTAAAAATATTTAACACATTCAATCGTTCCTCTGCGGTGCGGCCTAGCACCTCTACCCCCCCTTCCCATTTACGAATCAACTTTGTTTTCGTCTTCTCATTACAAAATAAATTTATTTCTAATACCTCCCATCATTTTTACCAACAATTTTTTTCTAAAATGGTATAAGTACTTTGAATGTACATATGTGTTTATTTGCATACAAACATATTTTATTGCCCTCCTATGTCCCCAACAACTTTTTTTTCTTACCCCCCCCCCCCTCCCCTCCCCCCTCAATATACATCGTCGGTTGTCTTTTTTTAAAAAAGGAATACAAAAATTGATAAAAAATTCTAACTAAAAACGTTCACTCAACCCTTCCTTTCCAATGTTCCATGGCCTCTTTTAATTCTGATTTTCATTCATTTTTGGGGCTTTCATTTCTTTCACTCGTTTAATCAATTATGATAAGGAAATAAAAGATGAGACAAAACAATATTAAATATGGAGAAAGTAAAACTAAAGCTAATATTTTACATTAAAGATTTTCCTTTTTAAATAATTTTACGAAATAATAAGTAAAAAATTATCAATGTTTCCATATGTTTAAACATTCTTAGCTTAAAAAATAAATTGTAAATAAAAATTGATAAGTGTAGCTTGATTTGACTGACAATACATATTGCAGAAAAGCCAAGTTCAAATAGAGACTGACCAAACTTTCCCTTTATATCACTTGTTTGTAAATCCCGAGTCAGGAAGTTAAATTTGCTCTTGGTTTAAGACTTTTTTCACTCTCTAAGAAAAAATATAATAAAGAATTTTATTAAATAAAATTAATATATACATTGTTTTTTTAATTTCATACATATTTATTTCTTATCTTAATATTTTTAATTTTTTATAATTTATTTTAATTTTTATCAAAATTATTTTGTCTACTAAATATTTTTTTTCTATTTATTTTTTTTAAATTTTATCATAAAAGTTAATGAACATGTACTTAATTGGCTTAAATTTTCTCTTAAATATAAAATTATTTTTAAGTTTTTGATAAAAAACTAAGTTAAATTACATTGGGATTATCAAGTCCAAATTTAATATTTTATTTATTTTTTTATTTTTAATTTAATTATTATTATATATACTACATATTTCTTTTTTATTTATTTTTTAAAATTCTATAAATGTACTTTTTTGTACTTTAACAAAGAATTTAATTTAATTTCCCATCTATCTAATATTAAAATAAATTCTAAAAAAAGCTAAAAAAACAATTCTTTTTTCATTTTTTAGTTTTAAAATAAAATAATCAGACCACCCTTTTATTTTTGTTTTGATTTACATTCACCAAATGTTTTTATTTAAAAAAATGACAGATTGTAAATAGATTGGAAATTTATAATTGAAGGAATTTTTGTATTTAGTGTATTTTTTAATGTTTATGTCCTTTTTGGATGATTTATTTTTATTTTAAATTAATTTTAAATTTTCTTTGAAAAATAATTTTTAATTTTTACTTAAAAATTGTGTAGAAATATTCAGATGTTCTTTTCTTGTTTTTAATTTAATTATACTTTTAAAGAAAATTAAAAAAATTCTTAACTGTACCTATAAACTTTTCTTTCCTTTTACCTTTTAAAATCCTTTTACCTTTACTTGCCATTTCAATTTATTACCATAATTTAAATTTTTAAAATTCAATTCAGACTTTAAAATCCATTTATTTGATTTCAATAAATACCTTTTTATTTTTATCTATTCCCCCTTCTATTTTTTAATGGCAGCCGACAGTCCTATGATGATTGTTTTTACGTATAAACGACTGTTTAAGCAGCATTAAATTTAAAGTTTTGTTTTATCTATCGTTCATCTGCTTTTGTAAAAATAAAAAAAGGAATTTGGCATCTGAAAGCTGTAAAGGAGAGAAAAAGTTTTTAAAAATATTTTTGTTCTCTTTTCAATTAAATTCAAGCAGAATTTTTCTAAAAAAATTTGAATTATTTTTTAAATTTGGATTGTTTTATTTTTATTTCCTCTCCGATTATTTAGTTGAATTCTGTGAATGTTTTCAGCCCCACATTCATAAAAATTTGTCGTTTTCCATTTTTTATATACATATATTAAAAATGATTAACCCTGTAATTACATACTTGAACAATTACAGGTTAATTGCTTTTATTGAACTCCAAATTTTTCACTTCTTCTATTAATATATTTTTTTTAAATTTATTTTAAAAATTAATTTATACTTTATGTATTAACATAAATATAAAAATATTTATTTGTGTGGCCATTTCGATTTAATTTTCCACAAAATTTAGAGAAGAATAAATATATTCATGGTTACTACCAACCAATCAACAACAACAAATAATAATATTAGCTTCTGCTTAACTAATAGTGATTTTTCCCCTTCCTCTTCATTTAATTTTCCATCAAAAACAGAAAAAGAGCCATTAGTTTATAATCAAATGAATAATTTGCGTCAAAAACGCCGTGAACGATTTTATGGTTATTTTAAATTTTATAAAATTATTAACTGAATAATACAAAAAGAATTACTTAAAATTATGACTTCATTGTAGCTGATTATCCGAAAAATTTAGGACCTCTTTAAGTTGATATTTCTGATACGGGATTATTTCTGACTCGTTTTGAAATTCCTTTATCTTGAATTATTGAACACCTCTCTAATTATTTTTCCGTTAAAATTGACAATATAAATTCGTGTTTGAAATTATTTTTAAACAAAATTAACTAAATTAAATTATTTTTTTTTAATATATTTAAAGTTGAGAAAATACGTGATATTCGAAATAGATGTATTTCTTCTACAAATAACGTCAAAACATCTTCACATTCATTAGAACAACCATTACAAGTATTTTCATCATTTTCTAAGATCTCTGTTGGCCAAAATCAGAAAATGGCTTTTGAAGAAGAAAATAATAAATATAATACTTTAACTTCTTCAATTTCTTCACCTCATCTTCCAATTTTTGTTTTAAAATCCTTCAACACCCAAAACATTATTAAACATTTATTAATTAATAAACTTTTCTTCCTCTCCGTTATTTTCTTTATTTCCTCCCTTATTTTGCCTGGATCAGCTACACCAATAAATACGGACTCCCAACAACAACCAATTATTTTACCTGTTGGGTCAATCTTTATTTTGGAAGATAATTTAGCTAATGAATTATCTCCAAGACAACAATTGCCGTTATGGATGCGCGCAGATCTTAGTAATGGAAAGAAACGTTTCTTTGGCATTCCACAGATTAGAGATGTTGGGAAATATCAATTAATGTTTTTAGGTTATTTAATTGAAAACTTTTTGTTTGTAGTATATTTATTTAAGATGGCCGAAAAAGTTTATCGTTGGAAGTTTCTGAACTTCAGCCGAGCCCTTGTCCTGCTGGCATTGCTCCGGTTTGGCTAGAGGTGCTTGATCCGAGAGAATATCAACGGCTTTCAATGGAGGAACAATTGTAATAATTATTTTAAATTTTATCATTTTTAATTATAAAATCTTAGCTAATTTAACATTTTATTATATAAAAATATAAAATCACATCTATTTATTTTCCGAAGAAGATCATTAGAAATTATCCAAAAATTCTTTTTAGAAGGTTTCCCGTTGACCAAATTCTAATAACTTTTTTGGCTACTTCTTTTCTAAAACAAAATTATAGTAAAATCCTAAATAACGTTCATTACCTACCTTTGAATTGTATTTTAGGATTTTTATTAATTTATTAATTACTATACTACATATAACAAAAAATATACTCAATTATTTTATTAGAATATAAACAAAATATATTCAAAAGAAATTTTTCAGAAAGCTCGCCGATTCTATTCTAGCAACTTTACACAAAGCAGATGTCACTTTTGTTCATCGTGAAAACTTCAGAATTTTTCCATATATTTATTTGGAACGCTACCGAACTGTTACTGAAGAAATTTTGTCTGTTCCAGTTATTCCAAATACATCACTTACAGCTTTGGTTTTAAATATTAGTTGTGGAGAGTTAAGTGAACAAGCTAGTGAAGTTATTAGTGTTGTTGCTGACAATGAGAAAGGACTTGTTTTTAGAGTAAATATTTATTTTTTAAAGTTATATTTTCTTATTTAAAATTTAATGCCCTCTTTAATTATAATTATAGCGTGTTTTAGCTCCGAAAAGCTCGAAATAGAAACTGAGTTTTTTCGACTTATCCATGTCTTTATTGGGGAAATCTTTAGAAAAAATTTTCTTTAGATATTTCTATAATTTATTTTATTAAATTAAGGTAGTTGAAGGTACATTAATAAAGCAAAAAGTTGAACAAAAAGTGGACGCAACAGAAAAAATTGAAGAAAATAAATTATTGAAATCAAAAGACAAAGAAGCTTCCTCCTCTTCTTCCTCTTTTCTTTTAATAATTGGAATTATTTTATTTATAATTCTTCTTTTAATTGCTTCATTTCTCGCCTTTAGATGGTTTAAAACTAAACAGCAAGCTAAAAGAAGGAAACAATTTTTGGATGCAAATTCTAATAAAAATGGTTTGAAAATTTTGAAAAAAATATTTTTGGGATTTTAATTGTTGTCCTCACCTCCCTTATAATATTTATTATTTCTTTAACTTCTAACGAAAGTTCGATTCTTATTCCGATTACTCTTTCTCAGACATTTTTCTTCCGATTTCTGATTTTTTACTTTTCGACATTCCCGGCGCAACTTACTTTTGTTAATGCTTCTTAGGAGAATTTTAAATTATTTTATAAATTTAAGACAAAACATATTAGGGCATTCTAATTATAGAATATTTGAGAATTTATATACAATCTTAAGAAATTAAAATTTTCATCTAATCTGTATTTTTTAAATTCAAATACATAAATCAACATTGACACTTCAATAATAAATTATTTTAAAATTAATTTTATTTATATATTTAATAATTAATTTAATAAAAATTATATTAAATATTTTAAGGCACTACAACCCGCCCTTCAGCTTTAAACAACAAAGAAAATTCAACAAAAAATATAGCAGTTACAGCACTTTCCCCCGATTCAATGAAAACATTAACAACTCCAATGTTGGAAGGAAATGAAAATTGTTCTAATGAAGAAACGAAAATAATTAATGGAAATCATTAAAAAAATAAAATATTTTATTTATTAATTTTTGCAATTAAAAAACGAGATCTTTCTGGTCATTTCACTCCCTTTTTAAATTAATAACACTTATAGTTTATATATCTTTCTTCTTAAACTCTTAAATTAATTTAATTTGACTAAACATTTCCTCTTATTAATTAATTTTTTTTTTAGTTTCTCCAGTCTTCATACTTTGCCAGTAAAACTCTGATTTATATTGTCCTACATATAAATACTACAGTCAGTCTTCGATTGTAAATTTTAGAGAACAAAAAATGTTGAAATTCCTAAATTTTCTAATTCTAAAACTTATTTTACTTTATAAATCAGAGTTTTTAAATTATTATTAAAAAATTATATTAAAATGAATATGAGTCTATCCCTTATAATTTAAAATAATAATTAAATTTATTAATATGTAATTAAAGATTTCTCATCTTCCATTTTATTTAGAAATATTTTAAATTAATTTAATAATGTTTTTGATAGATTATCCTTTTAATTAGTAAATTAATATTTCCAATTTTTATTTTCTTTTTAAAAATTTCTCTTAATCTGTAAGGAACATTTTTTAAAAATTATAAAATGAATATTCTCCCAAATATTCTAAAAAATGTTCTTAATTTTTCTTTAAAAACATAAGTAAATTTAAATTCTTTCAAATTTTTCTAGTTTTATTTTTGTCATTTACTTTAAATTTTATTTAATATATTTTATTTTGTCTTTTTTTAATTTTTAAATATTAAATATGTACTATTTTTGCTTTTAAATTCCCGATAAAATATGTTAACAATTTTTGTTTCAAAATTTATCTCTAACAAATAAAAGTAATGAAAAATAAATTTTAATAGGATTTTAAACATTTACTAAAAAGGTATAAACTTTAAATAATCATTGCCCTCCCCCTAGACAGAAATGTCGATATAAATGCTATGAGGGATTAAAATCTCGGCTAAATAATAACTGAAAAGGAATGAGCTCTAAAATGAGCTGTCAATAAAATGTCATCAACTTTCTACAATCGAAATTTGGAAAGCCATTTCAAAAATTGGTTCCTCCAAGTAATTTTTTAAATTTTTGTAAAAATTTTCTTTTAGGCTTTTTAGTAGGCTTTTCACTATTTGAAGTTGATGCTGCTGAATGATCTGCAGTGCTTTTCTCATATTTAACTGAAAATTTGAAGATATTATTGAAACAGAATTATTAGGGATTTTTTCTAAATTTTAATTTATGTATTTGATTATAATAATTAAATTAAGAAAAATTAAAAATTTAAAGCATTTTTCAAATAGTCCAACATAAAATATTAAAATTAAATAAATAAAAATATAATTAATACAAATAATTATTTGAAAAATTTTATTTTTTAGATTATTTTACTATACCTTGATTTACTTTTTTTGCATTGGCTCTACAATTTTTCCATTCAGCTTTTAAATTATCTGAAATTTGATTGTTTTTAGAATATAATATTGAAAATGTTATATTTTCTTCGTCAAAAAACATTGCATCATAATCTTGTCCAAAAATATTTTTATCAAGTTTATACAAATTATAGAATTTATTTTCATTATTTCCATTGCTAAAAATTATTTGGCAAAATTTTTGAGTTTCATCATAATTAAATCCTGATAAATTTTGCTGAAATATATATTTAAATAATTAAAAAATATTTTTGGTGTAAAGATATATTTAATTTAGAGTTTCAAATAACTATGACTTTTCCATAGACACAAATAACGTTGTAATAAATTTATGATAGGGAACTTTTTTGTAAATGTTTTTTAAATAAATTTTAAATAAAAATGAATTAATTATATTATTTTTTTAATTAAAAATGTTTACAAAGTTGGGGGTTCCACGTGTAAATTGAATAGGGTTTCCCAAACCACTACATTTACTATCAATTTCACTTTGTCTTGTCCAAAATAAATTTCCTTTCGAATCAAAAAGTAAAATAAGAGGGATCATAAAAGAACGGAAAACATATAAGGTTGGAGTAACTTCCATATAATTTAAATTATTTCCTTCCTTCTCAGCAAATCTGCAATGTCCTCCATCTCCATATTCAATAATTAATTGAGGAGTTGGTTGGGATTTTAATAAATTCACAAACAAAAGAGCAAATAATAAATGAATAGTGAATTTAGACATTTCTAGAGATTTTCTTAAATAAAATATTTATTTTATAATATTAAAATAATCTTAGATTAATTGCCAAAATCACTTAAAGAATAAATAAAAAATTAAAAAGACTAATTTTATAAACAAAAAATTTTTTAACGGAGATATAAAATTATTCAAAAATAAATATAATTTATTATTAAAAATATTAAATTAATAAAAGAAAATATTAATTAAAAATTAATAAAAAATAATATACCGTATTTCCTAAAATAGTACTCCCGGGAGTACTATTTTTCAACCCTCCTCCAAAGGGGAGTACTATTTAAGGGAGGAGTACTAATTCAGGGGGGAGTACTATTTTTCAACCCTTTTTTTGATTTATCATAAGAAAATTTATTTCAAACTTCTAAATCAATTTGAGTTCGTTATCTGAAAAATGCCTGATCCGACCCGGATTTTCAAAAAATTTAATTATTAAAAGCTCTCAAAAAATATCCAAATTATTATAAAATTGAGCTAATTTCGGGACATTTAAACACAAGTGACATAAAATAAGGGGTATTGAGGAAAATCAAGAAGGATATTAGTTAATTTGGAGTGATATTGAGGAGTATAAGGGGATTTAATCGATTAAGGGTAGATATCTAAATTTACCACTATATCCATCTTGAACTCCCGACCAGTTAATACACTTGTATGTGTCAAATTCCCTAGATATCCTTCAAAAACACTGATATCCCCCTTAATCTTTTCAAACTCATAATCTTACGAATCCGCATATATCCGCCGATATTATTCAATGTCACTGAGAAATTGATGTACCTAATCGCTGTGTCCAGGGATTTATCAGCATTAATCACCGATATCCTCCACATCTCTTTTTCTTCGAATATCCTTACGAATTCTAGGATATCCATATTTAGGCGTGATAACAAGTAGGGTTTCGTCCCGAACGCTCGGGAATGAGTGCGTCCCGAACACTCATCCTTCATTTTTCTCTCAAATTCCTTTATCAAACCATACTACTTGATCTAGTTAGAGATGAACTAGGGGAATTGGAACTTTTAGACCCCACTTGATCAATCCAGAACATATTATAGGTTAAAATTTCAGTTCGTTTTCGGTAAGCGAAAGCTGTCCGGTTTCGGTTATCGAAGAATTAAGTGAAACCGACAACCCTAATCAGAATAAATAAAATAATTCAATAAGTAAATTTCAATAGAATAATTCAATGTTTCTTTTATAATTTTTTTCAAATATAGGGGAAAAATATTTTAGGGGGGAGTACTATTTTAGAGGGAGTACTATTTAAGGGGGGAGTACTATTTTTCAACCCTCCTCCAAAGGGGAGTATTATTTAAGGAGGGAGTACTAATTCAGGGGGGAGTACTATTTTAGGAAATACGGTATTTCTTTTAAAGAAAGCGGGATGCCTTTAAATGTTGTAAATACAAAACACATTCGTAAAAAAATTGGCAATAGCTACAAATAAATAAGGGGATTCACGTGAAATGAAAATAAATATTTTTGAGTTTAATCAGACAAAGGATCGACATAATTAGATCAAAAATAATGTAAATTAGAATATGGTTTTTGAAGGCAAAGTTTATCAGTGCTTGGAAATTTTTATTTTGTTTGTACTCGTATTTCGTAGCACTATGTACTATTTTTGGCCTCAGACAACTCAAACCTGAACTTGTTTCTTAGATAAGGAAAAAATCTCAGATCTCTTAAATCACCAGAATTATCAATTTTTAGTATTGCAGAATTTTTACTTTGCACCTCTTAATATTTTTATCTCTTAATATTTCGATTTATTCATCAACTAGGCTGTAAACGAATGTGTTTTCTTTTGAAAGATTTTAAATAGAAAAACAAAATAATTTAAAAATGTTGATCTATTGGGCGTATAATATTTTTAAAATATTTGCCGACGTCTAATCAATTTTATCCATGTGATTTTATATTTTCTTTCCCCTATTTTTAGCCAATAATCGGAAATCGCCTTTAAAAATAAAAATTAAAAAATGTGTTGTGATTGGATAAACATTACAACATAACACACATTGGATAAACAAATCTTCTGAAAAGCTATTCTAATCGGCAAAGTAAAACCGTTTAGTTGTAAAAAATATTTTGTAAAAGATATTTTTTAGTGATTTCTAATTATAAAAAATTAATAAAGTGACAAAAAATATATATTAGATTTAGAAATTTGAAATTATTATCTTTAGCATAAAAATCGTTGTTGAATGTTTTGTTGAATATTTTTTTTTATAATCGAGTAGCTCTCATATAAAGCAATTTTAGATTCACCTCTATTTTACAAATACAATTTCTTCAGTCTAAAGTGTATATATTTAAAATTGAGGTATCTAGATTTTAAATATAATTTTAAATATAAATTTAAAATCAAATAGACCCTTGAATAATTACTTTTTGTCTAATTTATAATTTTTTCCAATCTTTTCTGGATGTGCGGGCACAACAGAGATTATCAAAGTTAAAGTTTATTTTTAAATAATTTAAAAATTTTTTAATTTAAACTAATTTAAATTATAAGTTTAAAATAAAATTATGACATTTAGTACTTATTGAAATTTAAATTGTTTGTGCAGCAAATGTCTGAAGATTTTTTGAAGAAAGACAACAAAAGTGCATCAATATAAAAGTCAATTAAAATTATTTTTATTTAATAAAAAAAATTAAAGAAAAAATGTTTCCAATTAAATTTATATTTTTAATGTTAATTTTAATTATTTATTTTGTTCTTGGATCGAATAAGAATAACGGATTTGTTAAACCAGATATACTTGCTCCAGTTGAATAATGAAGATATTGAAACTGAAGATATGTATTGTTAATATGTATAGTGATTAAAATTATTTAATTAAATATATTTAAAGTATAAATAGTACATGTTATTTTAATAAAAAAAATTTTTTTTATAATTTTAATTGATTTAATTTAATTAAGTTTTAAATTTTATTTAAAATTAGTTTAATTTTTAATAAAAACATTGATATTTGACTGATATAGCCATCACACGAAAATATTAGAAAAAATTCCTATAAATTTAAATAAAAAGTTTTTTTTTAATTAAATAAAAATCTTTTAAAATAAATATTTAATTTAATAAATCGATTGGATTATAAGAAATAGCTGGGATAAAAAATTCAATAAAACGTCAATTAATTAAGAGAGGAGAGGTGCTTGAGGTCTTAATTTTTTACTAAAGGTAATTTAGGCAACTCATTTTTGCCCAATTAAAAATTTTTTTTATAAAATATATTTATATATAAATAAATATTAAATAAATTTTCAATAAAATTATTTGTTTAAGCTCCATTAATTTTAGATAAACTTATAGAACACTAATATTTTAACGGTAATACATATAAGAATATCATTTGCCCTCAATGGGTCTTAAAGTTTTTCTTATAAAATTAAATATCTAATTTGAATTTAACTAACTGGATTATTTTTGCTAATATAAATATTTAAATGTTTTTAATTTAGATTAACTGAAAAATAGCAAAGTTTCACCTAGACATTCGAAGGGTGGTTTAACCTATCTTAGGGTTTGAGGAGGGATAATATTTTGGTATCTAAGTAAATCTCCTGTTCTATTTTTAAAATCGGGTTATAAAATTAATAGACTTTAAAACGATTGTTTCTCCCGTCGCATTAATCCCGAATAAATCGTTCTGCAGGGTATCTGGACTAGAGATACGACTTCAGTCCAGATATGGATATGTTCCGCACTTAACAGTAAAGTATATCAAAGAGAAGAGAAAACATATCCAAGATTATGGTTATTTAAATTGGATTTTTCCTGAGGGTGCTCAGAAGCAAGATCCGTTCAACCAAAACAATAGGGTTTCCTATAATTAATAAAAATATAAATTCAGAAAAGAATAAAAAGATTGAAAAACATTTTAGTTGTTTATTTATAATGGATATATTGCAATTATTATTAATTTTAAAATTGTTGGAAACGATAAATTTGCCAGGTATTACAATGAATAATCGTTTAATTTAATTATTAATTTAAATAACTTAAGTATCAGTTGCTGGACCAAAAAGGCAAAAAATGGAATTTGCTGAAAGTAGTGGAAAAGGTTTATAAAGAATAAAATTCTTTTCAAATTTTAAATAAATAATATTCCTTTAAAGCTAAAAGTAATTTATCTGTGAAATGCCATTGTCAAAAATATTCTATAGAACAAATTATTAACTTACACAAAAATAGAACTATAAATTCATTGGATGGAGGAATTATTAATCTAAAAGTTGATGAAAATAAAATTATTGGGCAAGGTGATTTTGGATCTGTAAGTAGTTTTTGTTTGTTATTTTACTTTATTTTAAGGTCTTTCACGCATATTGGCATGAGGGAGGAGTGTGTTTGGCTCTGAAATCCTCACACATATTAAATTCTCCGAGTGATGATAACAGAATTTGGGCAGAAAATGAAGTTAAAGTATTAGAATATTTCTCTAATCTCGAAGAAAATGAAAGAAATTATATTATTTATATGTATGGACAGTAAGTTATTTTTATAGATTTTAATGTAGAGTTTAGTAGAAGAAAATTATTTATACATATGAATCTTTTTAATAAATATTTTGATGAATTAAAAATAAATTTTTAAAATTAATTAACAAAATTACACTTTAAAATATCTGCTTTAGAACAATAAATTATTCCAATTTTGAGAAACGAGTCAGCACTTCTCTCACATTATTTAATTTTATTTTAATTATAGTAACGAAATAAAAGAAAATAAAAAAAATTTTAAATTGGTTGGATTAGAACTTGCTGGAATGAATTTTTTATATTATTTTAATGAAATAATGCAAATTTATCCTGACGAAAAAAAAATTGGTTTATTTGATAGTTTTAAACGACAATTTGGAATTGGAACTAATAGAATCAGTAAATTGGAGGGTATTTTAACTGATATGCTTAAATGTAGTGCTCGAGCACTTAAACAATTTCATAAACGTTAGAAAATATTTTTTAAAGTTTTTATTCTTTAAATATATATATTTTCTTAAGATGCTGTTCATCGAGACATTAAGGCGCAAAATTATGTTTTACCTTATAAACATAATTTAAATGAGCAATTAACATCTTGTAAATTAATTGATTTTGCTACGTCTATTATAAAAACGGATCTACAAAATTATCAATTTGATTATGTAAAATAAAATAAATTCTTTTTATTTTATTTAAACAAAAATATTACCTAATTTAAATTATACATTTATTTAACAATTTAAAATTAATTTTATAAATAATATTTAAGTTAATGAAGAAAGATGTTCTAGATTTTGGGGAAATGTTCATTAATTTAATTGGAGAGAATGATATCAGCATTAATGACAATGGAATTTTGAATCGAGTTATTATGGTTATTAATTTTATATTTATTTTTATTCTACATACTAAGTTAATCTAATTGGTTGAAGTTGAGCATATATCTTTCCTCCCTATTCCCATTAATAAGATTAATTAAATTCAATAATATTTAAATTTAAATCATTTTATGTTTTTCTTCGTAATTAAGAGAAGAGAAAACGATTCAGATAATATTTAACAATTTTAGGGTTGCTTTCTACATGAGAATGAACGCCCTAATATGACTCAGATTGTTAAATTTTTGGATAAGGAATGTAATGGTTTTGAACATGAAATTCAAAATCTTCCTGCAAATTCAATATTGTGTTAGAATTTGATGAATTGAAAAAAAAGATTTTTTAAAACTGAAATTCCTTGTTTATGAAACAAAATTAAAATTTTCAGAAAAAGTTTGAGAAAGTATTCTTTATGAATTTTCATGTCTTTTTTTCATAAATTTTCGATAAAATTCTATTTTATTTTTAAACATCGACAAAAAGCTTTGAAATTAATTTTTTAAAGTTAAATAATTTTTATTTTAATTCTTTAGAATTAAAATCCACAAATTTTCAACTTGGGTAAATTATTTCCGCTTTAGTGCATTAAATCATGTGGTATTATTAATTCCTTTTAAATATTCACAATTGATAGACTCTTTTTAAATTTTATAATTTAGTGTTTATTCAGTCTATAAAAATGGCTAAACTTTTTAAAATAAAATTTAGAAATTTCCCCCTATAAAAACGAATTTAAATTTTTTGAGACATTTAATTAAAAAATTAAATAAATTTAAAAAAAGTATTAGAAATGATTTCTATTCGATTTATTTTATTTATTTTTATACAATTAATTTGTGTAATCAATTTAGTATTTTGTAAAACTTTAAATAAAGTACAAATATTATCAAACAAACTTCTTATTCCTTCAGATCCCTAAATTAAAATTTTGAATGAAAGGAAGAGGAAATAACTGTACTTATTGTGATATGGAAATAAAAATGTTAATTTAATTGTAATGTTCTAATTAAAATAAATAAAAATAAAATTTAATTGTTAGTCTTGTCCCAATTTATTCTTTCCAGATTTTTTCCTCATTTCCTTAAACATTTCTAGTCCACTTTTTTGATTTGAAGAAGAAGGATGTTGATTATTTTGTTTTGGAACAAATTCGGCTGAAAATTTTAATTAAATACATATATTCTTCTCCAGAAAATTTAGATAAAGACGGGAGACAAATAAAAAGTCCTTTTTGATTAATGGATTTAATTACTTGATAAAAATTCTGAAAATTAGTCTATGTTATCGCGATTTGATTTTTCAATATTTTTATATTAATCTAAGCATCACCTGCATAAATGTTCTTAGCCAATCCTCTACATTCTTTCCATTTACTACTAAAATCATTTTGCGGCAAAATATTTTCTGGATTAGAAAATATTTTAATTATTCTATTTTTCTGATCGAAAATAAAAGTATCAGAATTTCCTCCAAAAATATTTTTATTACTTTTGTATAATCTATGAAAATTATAATTAATCTCATTTTCTGTTCCTTCGTTAATTACAACATTGCAATATTTCCCTTCCTTTATAATAATATCTTCTACTACATTCTTAATTTAATTTTAGAAAAATTTAAAGTGATTCCCATAGAGTAAAATATAAATTATCGTTTCGGCCAAAAAGAAAAACTAGACGGGCAATAAATTGTTTATTATGAAATAATATAGGAATTTTTCTTAATTTTTTCTCATTATTTCCTTTGTCAATTTCTTTAAATTCGCATTTATCTCCTCCATATTCTATAATTAATTTATCATGTAAAAAAGGTGGTTGGCAATTAATCAAGATAATAATTTGATTAGAAAATAATAATAAAATAAATAATTTCGTCATAATCTACATAAGTTTATGTATTTATTCTAAAAATAATCTGAAAAAATAATACTTGTCTTTGATAAGGTAAAATAAAAAAATAAATAAGAAAAACACAGGTTTTGGGTATTTGTTTAAATGTTTATTAATGCTGAATATAATTTTTAATAAAAGTTCCGCAATATTTTATATTATTGACAAATTTAAAAATGCTTTACTTTTGTAAAATATTAAATAGAAAATTTTATTTAAATTTTAAACACGTGAAAATAAATAAATTAATAAAAATAAATTTTTCAAAGCAATATAAAATAAAAAATGCGGGGAGATAAAATGAAAAATCAATTCATATTAAATCAACTTTAAAAGATGGCCGACGTTTAGCACTTTATTAAAGTGCATTTGCATTAAAAATATATTAATTAATATTAATTAAAAAGGTAGAATTACATACAGCAGTTTCTAAAGTAAAAATATACAACGATTGCAGCAATCTTTAAAACATTTCTAAAAAATGTTTTGAAACAAAAAAGAAAGAGAGAAACGAGAAATTCTTATAAGTAGGAATCAAAATATAATAGAAAATTTCACGATTTAATTTTTATACATAGTAAAAAACGCAGACAAAGAATTGAAAAAAAGTTGAAAAAAGTTTCCCACTTCGATAATTAAAAATTCTTTTTTATAAATTTTCTATTTGCAATTGTCGTCCGGAATTGTCGGATCCGCGTTTGCTTATCCGCAATTGGAGTCAGTCTATAAATACATTCCATCTTCTTATTATCCTCTAAATTTATATTATAAATACATAATTAATTAGGTACTAACATTTAATTAAATTTTATTTATAAACTGTTCTGAAATTATAAAAAAATAATTTGGATGACTAATAATTTTCAAAAATTTTTAAATTAATATTAATTTTTCATTTAATGTACATTTAATTAGGTAATTATTTCTAAAAATAAAGAGAATTTTATTTTTATTAAAGCCATATCACAATAAATAATTTACATCTTTTTATGTAATTCTATAAGTTTTGTTAAATTTAAGCTGATTTTAATGGAATATCAATTTAGATTTTATTGAACTTTTACCACAAAATACTTTAAAACAAATGATAAAATATTTAATTTTAATTATTCTAATAATTACAATATTTTTAAATAAAAATAATAATTTATATATCAATGCAATATATGAAAATAAAATTATAGACCACAATCAAAGCTCTAATGGAATTGATAATGAATGGGTAATAATAGGAAGTGAAATAAATAATGAAGAGTTAATTTAAAAAGGGATTTCTTATTTAATTTTAACATGTACATATAATAATTTCGCCCAAATAAGTAAATGAAATCAAATAATCGAAAATATTTATTTTTAATAAGGGAAACATTAATCTTAAAAGAAAATTCTTCTAATCAGAATATTGTTAATTAACAATTATTAAGTTTTAAGCTTTTTATAAAGATTTCCCTTTTTAGATTCAACATCCATGTAGGTTGTTCCCATTAAAGTTTACAAATATTAATTCAACATATTGTATTGAATTTGATAATATTCAACCTTGTGAATCGAATACAAAATTATTAATTATTATTCCGAGTCGAAGAAGTAATTTTGGCCAAAGAAATGATGTTCGAAATACTTATTTAGCTGATTCGGCAATTCTTTCTAGAATTTAATTTTAAATTTATTTTTAATTTTTAGCTTAAAGGCACAACTGCACGTTTCTTTATTTCCGATCCCAGAAAGCAAAACGAAGACGAGACAAGAGAAGAACAAATAATGTTAAGAGAAGAACAAGCTAACTTTGGCGATTTAGTTTTTATTCATGGTTTTGAAGATACTTACCATAACCTTCATTTTAAAGTAATTGGCTTGGACACTTTTTCTCTCTTTATCCGTGATAGCCGCTTCAGGGCTTCTGTGATGACGGCCACACTCTCATGGCCGTCATCGCAGAATTTAATTTTTAGGATAATTTTGTGTTAAAAGTATTTTTTACTTTAAGATGCACGCAGCTTACAATTGGAATAAAGCCTTTTGCCCTCAGGCAAAATGGACATTAAAAATTGATAATGATATGGTTGCTAACCTACAAAGACTAGATTTTTGGATCGAGGAAAAATTTAAAAAAGAACTTATTACGAACAAAGCTACTATTTTTGGTCGGCCTTTTATCTATAGTCCAAGAGTTACAGATGAAACGAATTATAAATAGTTAGCTTTTTATATTTAAAATAGAGATTAGTAGTTGTTAAAAAGGCATAGAATGTTGTACGAATGAAAAACCTTTTAAATAAAATACTTGAATATTTTTTAAATTTTCAATTTAAATTTTCATAGTTATGTGTCTCCGGACGATTACGATGGCAAATATTATCCTCCTTATATGTCCGGACCAAGTTATCTTTTAACTAGGTAAAATACAAAACGATTATTTAATTATTTAACAATATTTTATAAACTATTTCGGCATATGTAATTTAAAATGCAAAAAACAAGGCTTATCTTATATCAAAAATACACAGGATGGCCAAAAATATCTTAGATAAACAAAAATTGTTTAAATAAAGCTAAACTAAAATTTTTCAAAGATTTTAATTAATCTAAACTTTCCTCTAAAAGATTAAATTTAAAGGGAAGCAATTTTATTAATTTTGCATTATGCCAGCCAGGTTAAAGCCATTCATCTTGAAGATGCACTTTTTACTGGAATTATAGCTAGGAAAGCAAATATTTCTCATTGTGGGCATTGGTCAAAGTTTAATACTTTCGAAAATGTAAATTATATTTTTAAATTAAAATTTATCACATTTATTTACAAATGGTGTAATAAACAAATTGTGAGTTCTTCTTACCAAAATTATGTAACTTCACTGATTTGAATAAAAATATTTATCTTAGAAGGGCTTGATATTTTTATATTTAATGAGTAAATTAAAATTTATTTAAAAGATGTATGACAATCTTGGATGTGAAGAATGTGTTCCATTACTTATTACAACTGTGGCTAATCAAGGAGTAAACAAAACTTATAAGGAATTGAATAATATTGCCTGTTTGTAGTTAAAGAAGGAATTAAATAATTATTAATAAATGTTATTTTGATTAAATGTTTAATTAAAATTGTAAAATTAAATATTTTCCTTTGATCATAAAGAAAATATACATATAAAACAAAATTTAAAAATAAAAAAATAATTAAGATAAATTTTATAGTAAACTACTTTGAAAAAAGAACAAAATTATCTTCAAATCTCAATTATGTTGTATCAACAACAAACTAGACTATTCTTTTGTTTTTTTATTTTTTAATACAACTTTTATTAAAAATTTTTAAATTTAATTGACTTAATTAGACAATCAGTCTAATTAATTAATTGATTAGACAATCAATTAATTAGACAATCAGACATATACTATTTCTTAATCTTTTCTCTATTACTTTCTCAATTATAAATATTTACCTAATTTTTATGTTGGCATTTAGCTATCAATCGAAAAAATGCCTGGGATAGCGCCATTACCTATTTATCTTTAATAAATATATTTATTAAATAAAAACTCCGTAGAAATCGAGTTTAGACTTGTAATATGTTTTATATCGAGGTTAAAGTTTAGTGAATATATACATACTAAATTAACTTTTCTCTTTAATACATTTATAATTAAATTGTTTAAAGCGATTTTTAATGAATTATTTACTTTTATTAAAAATAATTCAATTAATTCTTGTTTTATTTAATTCTTTTGGTATTAAAATTATAATATTTTAAAATAATTATACATAAATTTAAGGAGGAATTCAAGGCTGTTTTGATTGTAAAGATGTTTCATCTGATGAAAGTTAGTTTAAGTAAATTAGAAATAGGGAATTTTTTGGAATTATGATTTTTTGATTGGAAATTCTTCAAATCATTTGAAATTTATTTGGAAGTTTAGGGATCTAATTTTTTTAATGACGATTTATAAGAAACATCATTTTAAATAAATAAATATCTAAATCTGTCAACATTTCACTTAATTCTACCTCGTTTTCCCATTCAGGTCACGATTCTCATTCACGTCAAAATTTATGTCCTTGTGGGTACCATTTCTTTGCTACTCATGTTATTCGATATCTCAATTCACAAACAAAAATGACAATCAAAGTATCAAACATTGTGATCGGAACTGGTGGATATGGCAAAGTAGATTTAATTTTTAAAAATATTATTTAATAACCAATTAATAACCAATTGAAGGATTTATTTTTCACTGAAGAAAATATGTTTTTATTTTAAAAGGTAAAACATGCTTTCTGGCTTGAAGAATCAAAATGTGTCGCCCTTAAAGTTGTTGATTATAGAAATCTCTCTAAGTCGTTAAAAGAAGCGGCAAATAATGAAATTTCTGTTTTAAAAGATATTGCTAAAATACCTGAAAATGAAAGGGATTATATAATTGAAGTGTATGGAGTGTAAGTTTTTGTTGATATTTAGTGAGATTTTAAAAGGATTAATTAATTAAAAACTTTTTAATTTAATTAAATAATTTATTACATTAAATATCTATAATTAATTTGTATATATTCAAAGTCAGAAGAAAAAACATGAATTATTTATTGTGATGGAGCTTGGAGGAATAAGCCTGCTTGATTATTTTGAATTTAAAGACATAGAATTGTTAGAAAACGGAGAAATTCAATTAAATGAAAATGGTCAATTTATTCTGAGTGAAGAACGAGAAGAACTTCTCACTAATGTTTTTAAATGTGCTGCTAAGGGTTTAGAACAATTTCATAAATGTTAGTTTTATAATTAAAAAAATTTAACTTAATAAAGTTAAATTTCTAAAATTAAATAAAATGAAATATTTAAATAAATTTTTTCATTACAAAATAAATATTCTTATCCACTTTCATAAATATTTAATTAAAGTTGGTATTCATCTTGACGTTAAAGGAATAAATTTTGTTATACCTAGACAACATAATATGTCCGAACCTTTAACAATGTGCAAATTAATTGATTTTAATTCTTCTATTATTACTGAAGAGCAAAGTAAAATATTAGAGAGTTTTGGTGGAACTCGTGTCTTAATGGCACCAGAGATTTTTGACGAAGCTCAGCAAAGAGCTAACAGAGGTTTAAAGGTAAATTTCTTTGAACAAAATTATTCGGATAAAATTCGTTGATTTTTCATGAAATTAAGGAACATTTTGTGGATAAGTCCTCGGTAAGGGAATTATAAGCACATAGTATAGATAGTAAACACATTATTATACACATAGACTAATTTAAAACAAAATTGTAATACTTATTTAAATTAAATAATATTTAATAGGTAACTCGCAAATCCGATATTTGGTCTTTTGGCGTAATGATGAGAACGATGATGGGGTTTCGTTTCCAACGTCAAAATAATAATTCTAATCATCGAGAGCTTACTGAAGAGGAACAGATTGCTAACCTTTTAAATGATTTACATAATTACCGTTCAAACAACAATTATACAACAAAATTAGACCGTGTTTTAAAGGTTATAAATAATATTTTAAATATTCAAAATAAAAAATATTTTTGAAATTTTTTAAAAATATTTTTAAAAAAATAAATAATTTAAGGGTTGTGTCCAAATAAATCAAAAGGATCGTCCCAGCATGCATGCAATCCTCGATTTTCTTGAAAATAAATGTCATTATTTTAGTTATGAGGCAAACCATGGACAAGGAATGAACGGAATAGAATGTGAATGAAGAAATGAAAAATGAGAGAGAGAAGAGTTTGAATTCTTATAAATTATAAGAATTATACTATTTTAAAGATTTTTTACAACTACATGCATATTTATTAAATTTTTAAATTTTTCAACAATGTAAATATTAGAGATATTAGATTAAAACTTTATCAAAAATGTTTTAGCAATTGTTTACTTTATAATTAGAATCTACAAAACATACATATTTATCAGCGCGTTCTCGTTCAATTATTTTCATAACATTCAACTAAAAACATAATGTACCCTGAATTATATCTGACTCCGATACATTGGCTTGCTGGACATGAATTTTCAGCATTCTCTATTGTCAAATAGTGTTAATAATGCCAAATAGCTTTTTGGTTAGTTTGAAATTTTAGATTTCGATTTGAGAAACTTTAATTAAGTATAAACTTTTTGTAGTTAAAAAACTTTTTGTAGTTAAGTAAGAACATTTTGTAGTTAAACTTTCTTGATCGCAGCCCAGTGTATATCTTTGCACAAGTTATTATGAATAAAATTTAAAAAATACTGCAATATTTTTAGGTGAAAAGTTCATCCTCTTGTGTATAAAAAACTATCAAGCTGTCAAACCATTAGCGGATACGTGAATGTTCGTGGACCGATGGATTTTTTGAAAATTGAACGGATACGGGACGATGACAAAAAGTCTGTATAATAAACATATTTTGGGAGTGTAAGTGAAAAAATCGTAAAATTCTATCTTTGCGATTTGTTTCTAAATTTTTACAGGTAGAAAATTAAGTTCCTATTCAGTTTTTTGGATTCTTTGATGTTTTCCGAAAACACTTTGCCTAATTTTAAACACTCTATTGGCTAAAATTTTTTAGACAAAACTATCGAATTTCTTATCAGGCAGACATACATACACTCAATACATTTCCATATTTATTTTTCTTTACCTAATTTTGATAATCGTGGCATTCGATTTATTATGTCTACTTACGTCGACTTAAAGTCTAAATTAAACTCCATTTTTAAATCCATTTTTAATTAAACTCCATTTTTTTGGTAACGCATATTTTTAAAAATAAAACTTTCAAAAAATGTTTGTAAGTTTTTGTTTAAATATTTCTCTTATTAATTCCATTTCATAATAACAAAAAATGATATATGTAGTAGAATAAGTTTTTATTATCTTTGTTTGCTCACATCTCTGTTCTAAAAATAAATTGTTTCCATACTTTTGCACTAGTCAAATTAGAATAATACTTGAGTAGTTTCGAAATTTTGATTTATGATTTTCTAGGTTATTTTTGTTTCTAAAGATTTCTGAGTAATAAATAAAATAATAGATAAATTTTAATTAAAGCTCAATGAAAATATTTTATTTTTTAATTATTGTGCTTTTGTTAATTTTGCATTTATTCCCTTGTAAAGGTGCTGATGTTGAGGCAGAAAGGGGTGAGTTTGAAATTTTAAATTTTGATTTCAGAATGTTGTAATCAGGGTTCGGATTCGTACTTATTTTGGAAGTACAGTACTTACAAATCGCCCTTCGTACTTCCAAAATTAAAAATGTACTTATTTGTAAGTACGTACTTACAAATAGAGTTTTTGGTTAAAAAATTAAATTTAACCTTAGAATTCTCTAAATTTTCGCCTGCGGCGCAGACAATGGAAGAAATCTGGCTTAAGGATCTCTAAAATTTCCAAAATTTTCGACTGCGGCGCAAAAAATGGGAGAAATTTGGCTTAAGGACCTACAAAATTTCAAGAATTTTCGCCTGCGGCGCAAGAACGGTAGCCTTTTGTAGGGTCTTCGGGACCGCTAAAAATTTTGAAAAATTTTTTCGTAGCGTACTTATACTTTGAAAATTTTCCCCCATATGTACTTACATATTGAACTTTTTGTACTTACAATTAACATTTTATCGATCCGAACCCTGGTTGTAATTAAAAAGTAAAATAGCCACAGACATTCAATTAAACTTTTTAAATTAATTTAATATAAACAATTAAAAACTCCGCCTCTTTTTTTCAACTCCGCCCAACAAATTGGATCTTATTTAACGAAAAATAAATACCTATAACTTAAAACATTTTTAAAATTAAGCAGAAACAAGCACTTCTCAAAGTGAAATTAAATGTCAGTGTGGAGAAAGCCAAATCTCCATTTTAAAGAGAATTACTTTAAATCTAAAAAATCAAGGAAAAACAATTTTCAAAAAATCAAAATTCAATCTTGGGTCAGGTTTATATGGAAAGGTATGTTGAAATGAATTATAAGTATTATTTAACACAGAGGTTTCCGAACATTTTAATACTGAAAGCTTTGTTCTTTTTGTAAAGTAATGAACTCAATTAAACAAAAATTAAATTGAAGGAATGAATAATATAAATTCTAATGTTTTTAGCCTTACTAGCAAAGTTTATAAATCTTTGACTAATTTTAGGATGAATATTAATTAGGTATACATAATGAAAGGTACTAATCCATTATCCCTCCCCCCCCCCCCCCCACTAGCTCTAATTTTATATTCCATTAAAATTTTTATTAGAATAAAGTGTCACCCAAAGTTATAATCACAAGTATTAATATTTTTCAACCTTTCTAATAACGATGAAAAGGATATAGATATATGTAAAGAAGAAGATAACGTTAAGTGCCCGTACGGTTATCTATTTTAAGATTTACATCATTATTCTTAATTAAAATACTTAAAGGTTCAGCATGCTTATTGGCCTGATAGGAAAATTTGTGTTGCAATTAAAATAGTAAAACGTCCAAAAAATTTTATGAAAGAAGCTACAAAAAATGAGCTTGAAGTACATGAATATATTAATTCTAATATAACTGACAATGAGAGGAATTATATTATACGAATGTATGGATAGTAAGTATAAATTATTATTTAAAATTATAATAACATGTTGTTTGCATAAACTTTTCAATTTTTTTAAAGTCGTAAACATTCTGGTTACTACTTTTGGAAAGGTAAATATATGTCTATTGTTATGGAACTTGGAGGTAGAAATCTGTATAATTATTATGATAGAAGTAATTTGATAATTAGAAGACATGATGGAGGAGATCTTGAAATTTTTAGCGATGAACGCAAAGGTGTTCTTGGAAATATTCTTAAATGTGCTGCAAAAGCTCTTCAACAATTCCATAACTGTAAAGATTAAAATAAACTTTTAATTTCACAAATTTTAATTAAGTCGGTGTGCATAATGATATTAAATCTGATAATTTTGTTACGCTTAAAGAACAAAATGAATTAGAACCTTTAACTTCGTGCAAATTAATAGATTTTAATTTATCTAAAACAATTGGACAAGAGAATGTTACTAATGAATATATCGAAGTAAATATTTTTTTATTTATGTATGTGTAACACATTGTGTGCAAGTTTGTAAGTGTAATTGTAAGTCCTCGATAAAATGTGAAGTGTAAGTGTCTTTATTTTAGCGGTAAAACTACTTGATATGCCTGAAATTTTAATTTGTAACAGTACAGTCGCTTCAGGCAGAATTGGGGCGATGCTTTTCAAATTCCTGGACCAGGTCCCATTTACTTTATTGAAATCTGACCAAGACAAAATTTTTATTTTTGTGCCCAGCCTAGTTTGTATATATTAACAATTATCCCTAAAAAGGATATATTTATGTATGTTTGTAATATTTTTAATCACAATATTTAATTTGCAATTTATTAGGTGAATCGCAAAAGAGACATCTGGGCCCTTGGTTCAATGATGATTAAAATGATGAAGTTTCGCTTTCAAAGTTTTCCCATAAATTTATCATTGGATACAAGCCATAATTTTCTAAATGCATACATTTCAAATGATAATTATAATACCAACATTGACACGGTTTTAAAGGTAAAAATATCAGGGTTTGACATAATCAGTTACTAACCGTTTTTCCCAGTTTTTAGTTAAAGGAGGAAGGTTTTGGCTAAATTTCTATCTGAAATTCCCATCCATATGCGTCTTTTTTGAAGAAATATTCTATAAATCAGGCGTCGAATTCATTAAAAATTTTAAATTTAGAGCTGTACATAGGTGAAACTTTCCGAAATTTTAGAAATATTAATTTTATTATAATAATTTTAAATTATATAATTATTTAAAAAATAAAATTTCTTTTTAAGGGTTGCTTGCAAGAGAATGCCAATTTACGCCCTAGTATGCGTGCAATAGTTAATTTTCTTGAAGGTAATTGTCACCGTTTTAGTTATGAGACACAGAATTTCATTGGTACTTTATGTGAGGATTAAAATTCAGTTGAAAAGAAAAATAAAGAAATTAGATAGTTAAAGCTTGTTATTTAATGAATCACTATTAAACATTAAAAGATTCTTTACAATAATTAAAGTTAATTGAAAATAGCATTATATTTAGTTTTTGAAATAGACAGCAATTTTTGATAAATACACAACTCTACAAAAGTATAGGACCATCCATTTTTCCGAGATTTTTTTTATTTCCAATACTCCAAATTTTCTGAAAATTTAGATATACACCTTTTAGTTTTCAAAAAATTCGGATCATTGGAAATAAAAAAATCGTGAAAAACGGGTATACTTATTCTTTTGTAGAGTAGCACATTAAATAGGCCCTTACAAAACATGCAATTGCATGTTTTGTATTCGATTATGCCTTGAAGAGAGAAGCTCAATAATCGTGGTTTTGCGTTGGTCCAAGAATTTAGAGCCCAGTTTTTAATTCATATTTTTGCATGTCTCGATTTTCTGCATTGTCTATCATTTGGTTGTATAAATTATTTAATGAATTAACAAAATTTAACAAAATTTCTATAGTAGTCATAGGTGCGGGGGTGTCGTGGCTGTCACTAACCTAATCCTTTTGATCTCACTGTCGTGGGGGTGGCGGGGTCTGGTAAAACCAAAAGGGAGAGGACATGTCGGGAATAGTGCGGCAAAAAACCTAAAGGGAGAGGGCATGTCGGCAGCGTCGTGGAGGAGTTGAGGTCACATAAACCTAAAGGGAGTGGACATTTCGGCAGCGTCGTGGGGGAGGAGGGGAAAAGAAAAGAGAATGCCAATATTTGGGGGGTGGTCAGACAAAAGGAGAGAGTATGTTGACCTATTAGAGGGGAAAATCTAAAGGATGAGAAACCTTTTGAAAGTGGATGTGAGGGAGGATAATTGTATAAATCACTGTCGCGGGTGGCAATAAGAAAGTCAAATCCTTTTGACCTAAGATCAAAACCTTTTGAGCGGGTGGTCAAAGCTGACCTTTTACGTCGTCGTCGTGGCCGACTTTTTGACTTTTAAGACAAATCCTTTTCATTTGTTTTGACTTGAAGTCAAATCACTTTGACAGGTCGGTGATAACCAGCTTTTCCTCTCCATATCCTACCCCTCTCATCCCTCCTCTCTGATACTACTCCTCCTCTCCTTATTCTTTCTCCTCCCCATTTTATCTTCTCCGATATTTTCTTATTCCTCCTCCTCCTCCTCCTCCTCCTCCCTCATACTCCTCATATCTTATCTGATCTCGACTTCTCCTTTCCTCCTCTATCCTACTCCTCTCATCTTCTCCTCTCTGATACTACTCCTCCTCTCCTCATTCTCCTTCTTTCTCCTCCCAATTTCATCTTCTCTATTTTTTCCTCCTCCTCCTCCCTCCTACTCCTCCCATCTTCTCTGATCTCATCTTCTCCTCTCAGTTCTTCCTCCATGATACTATTTCCTTCCTCCTCTCCATATCCTACTCCTCTCGTTCTTTTTCTCCTACTCCTTTAATCTCCATTTTCTTCCTACTCACTCATCTCCTCTCGTATCATCTTCTCTTCTCCTTTTATCCTCTCCTCTCCTTTCCTTTGCGGGTGAACAATCACCATCATGGAGTAGAGGGGTCTGACAAAATCAAAAGGATGAGGACATATCGGTAGAGTTGTGGTGTTGAAGGGTAAGTACACAGTGGAGAAAAAGTATTTTCTAAATTTGAAGTGTCATTTATCTTGTTACAATCTTATAGAACCATTCAACAAGTGATCTATTACCTCATCGAATAATCAAATTGTTCTTTGTAATTAGCCAAACAGTGTTCGTGTTTATTATTTGCAATAATTTTTATCGTTTTTATAAAAAAACATGTGCAATATTAATGTTTTAAAGTGGTAGATTTTAGGGAGAAAAGTGCATATTTAAGTGTTAGAAGATACAATGAGCATAATTAACCTTTAGAAGTTGATGATTTTAGGGAGAAAAGTGCATAATTAAGCATTACAAGTTGTAAAAAGCATAGTTTGGAGTTTGAAGTAGTTAATTTTGGGGGTAAAAGTGCATATTTAAACAAAAGAAAGTGCAAATTTTATATTTTTTTAAATCCACGTATTTTAGGCATGCGCGAGTGTTTTGGGGATGTGCGCGTGTTTCGAGTATGCGTTTGTGTTTTTAGAGGCGTGTCAGTTTTAATAATGTTGTAATCCACTGAAAATCCGAGTATAAAAGGGTGGCGATTTTGGATTTTTGTATCATTATTTCAAAATGAATCAAAATTTGTTTTCCCAAATCCTCCCAGAAGTAGATTTTAATATCTCCTCGAGTGGAATAACCGTTTTAAGTTCTCGACTTACTACTCCTAGGTTTATTCCTTACGACCAGTCAGGGAGATGTAAGGAGTGCAAGAGCACAGAGGTGGAAATTGATTTTATTGTGACTAAGGAAGGGGTTACCATCTACTGTACACGAATTGGCTCAGGTACCCGATTTGTCCCATTCGATACAGTTTATGAGTTGCCCACACATTGCTTTTTCAAAGTCAGGAACAAAGGGAGAGTGTTCAATGTTCCTCATGGAGTACAAGCGCAACAGATAATCCATCAAAATCCCAAGAGAGGGAAAAGGAATTTTGAATAATTTTGCTTTATTGAATAATGTCTAATCTTCCTACTAGAGGCGTGCGATCGTTTTCTATTGATAATCTCCTTTCTAGAGATCAAACAGGAGAAGGAGCTCCAGAAGAATATGTTGAAAAACTTGAGGATAATATTCAATACATTGAAAATTTTAAAATTGTCAAAAGCTATTCAAAATATTTGATAAAGAATATTCCAGCCGACCCGGAAACTCTTCTTGGTGGTATTTTTCAACATTGCTTCGATGATGCCGTATCAAATGCGCGGGCTAAAGGAGTCAAACCAGAAATGCTGGGATGTACTCTAATTAGTGAGTTGCTACATACGGATATCTGGATACCACTTCGGCCTATAACTGAAAACACATTTAATACTATGTTAAACCAGTTCTATAAAGTATCACAGAGTAAAAAAAGTTCAGGAGTAACTCTTTGGGGGAAACCCTTTTCAGTTAATGTTATGATTGTAGATAAGAATTTGCGTTAGGAAAACCTTATTGAAAAAACTCTTCAAAAAAGTCTCCTCCCTCACATTTTTTTCTCAAATTTATTATTACAATTTTTATTGTTTTAAGTTTCACTTGAAATAAATTTTTTATAAAAAGCTGTGCATTTTTTATGTCAAAACTAGAAGATTTTAGGGGGAAAATGCACTTTTAGGAGGTTGAGAAAACTAATGAGCATAGTTTTGAGTTTTAAATAAAAGATTTTAGGGAGAAGTGTGCATAATTTAGAAAAAATTTATTGAAAAAGCAAAGTTTACAGAATGAAATGGTTGATATTAGGGGTAAAAGAGAATATATTGATAAAGAATATGCAATTTTTATTTTTTATTCTTATTTATGAATCTTAGGTATGCGTGCGTGTCTTTGGCATGCGCGCGTATTTTTAGGAGTCGCTTGTGTTTTTGATACAAATTTTAAATGTTTTTAAAAATTTTTATTCAAAAATAAATTGATTACAAATAATTACCAAAGTTCAAAATTATTGTCTTGATCTTTTTTCAAAATAGTCACTGGACTCTTTGGCTCTTGAGATATTTTTAGTTTGTTTGATAAATCATTGGAAAGCTGATTCATCCATTTGCCTGCTATTCGATCCTCTTGTTCTGGCACAAACTCGAGCAACTCCATTGGGTAATATCGGTCCTCTCCTCCAAATGGAAAGCGCTCAATGACACATTGCAAGTAGGGATATCGTAAACGAATCCGGTGTCGAGCATAGTAGTGAGCAGCAACGCTCACATTGTATGGAAAAGGTAATCTCCCATAAGCGACGAGAGAATTCCCTCCATGT